CAAATGCCATGAGGGGAATGGCCAATCTAAATTGGCCCTCTCCCCATGGCACTGCTTACCACAGCGTTGCCGCCCGGCACCAACAATGAGGTCGGGGGTTGTTTTGCCGGTTCACACACAAACACATACACACACGCAAGTCTGCTTTATTTTATATATAGCTAAGTTACCCAGCTTCGCACGGGTCACAGCAATCAAATGTAAAGGGTAATATCTTGCCTGCTGTCGTCGAATAATTGAAAGCTGCAAATGTGTGTATTATGTATTTGTGTATTGGTTTGTGATGGGGTTTTTTGATAATCTGATCAAAAAATTTCATTCGTTACCCTTGGGGAACTTTAGAATATGCAATGTTGGATGCATTGTCATCTGGTGTCAATATGAAAAGGTTTTTCATGTTGCAAACTCTGGAGCAACCAACATAGAGTTGGCCATGAAAGAAGGGTGGGCTGATTTTGAATGATTGACCCTGTGGCTTGTTGAAGGCATTTAAATTGAAAGGGCAGGTCAGAAGGGATAACAAGGAATGCGTGGAATGAAAACAGGTACATTGCTAAACATTTGCCTTGTTGACTACAATGCATCAAAACTTATTTTTTTTTGGGTCGGAAGACTAACCAGCAAATCACGACGATCGTGTAGTTTTTGGCCTTCCACCAGGCCCGGGATAGCAAACCGTGTCTCGTTCTGCCATAGCGTGGTTAGCTGGGCAATCGAGACCCCAGTGAAGATTGTGTAATGTTGCGGAACAAATAGTGTTGCTCCCAAATAACGTCTGGGGACTCAGTTGGCCTCACTACACTTGCAAAAAAGGTCCCATGTTGTAGCTGCTCTCTCCGAGCTATAAATGCCCTGACAGTGCATTGTCTTTGTACTGTCCGTCTTTTGGCGTTCTATGGTCTAAGACTTAGTGAGACTAGGCCCTAAAGAAGGCTGTCTATGGTGTAGACCAATGCGTACATTTTCTTGGTTCTTTCGGTAAAGTCAAGTAGATAGAAAATAAAAAAATAATAAAATTAAAAATTAATTGAGAAATAATAAAAGTAAAAACCCGCAACGTTTCGATCGCAACACAAGCGGTCTTCATCAGGCGGAGAGAAAAGAGGGGGCAAGTCTTGTGTTCTATCTACGTGACTTTACTGAAAGAACCAATCATTGGAATTGCTGCAGACACGAACGTTTTATGTCAAAATTGAATGCGTACATTATTATCAGAGCATGTTTTTGTTTGCATGTTCACCATAAGTACGCGTGGTTAATGCAGACATGGTTCCTTGCAAATGGTTTATAATTTGGTATTAGAACATCTTAATACCTCCTGTTTTATTGCCAGAAAGGGTAAAACCTATTCTTTTAAAAATAAAAATAATTCCCTAATGTGTTCGTGCGTGTGGCATACCGGAAGTAGTGAGATTGCCGCGGCCTTTGGTGCACATGTCGAGATAGTGGCGGGCGGGGGGGGGGAGTTGGACTGTGTAGGTGTTAATAAAGGTGAGCAGGTAAGGTAAAACAAATAGTGCGAAAAACACACACTAAGTCACCCGTGCCTTAGTGTGTGTTTTGTCTCTGTTTCTCTATTCATCTGTCCCCTATTCAACCTCTCCCTCCGTCACTATTCCTCCCCTCCCTCCAATATATCTCACCCACTTCCGTCCCCGCTATCTCTCTCCCTATTTCTCCCACCCTCTACTTATCTCATCGTCTCCCATTAAACCTCTCTTGTCCATCCCCAATCTTCTTTCTCCTCTTTCCTCTCCATTGCAGGCGCCCTTTCCCTCTCTTCCTGCCCCTCTCCTCTCCATTAATCTTCATCTCCTCCTCCCTCCTCTATCTCCCTTCCTCACTTCCCACGGGATCCACCAACGTTCGTATGTAATATTATACCCACCAAATGAACGTCTACTATCAATTTGTAAACCCTGCCTAGTAGGAACTGGAAACATAATGAAGCCACATTGTCAAAACTATTAATCAAACACGTGTTTTAGACAGTTGTAAACGGTGATTGATCAATAAATGATTTGGCTGCGTAGCTTGGACCGTTTTGGTTTTGACAAACATGCTCCTCGTGGAAACTTTTTTTTCCAAACACACAAAGAATGTAGTACTTTTGAAAAATCAATCTCGATGATTAAAAGCAGCGCACCAATGCGCCTCAAGGAAAAACGTTCTCCTCTTCTTTGGTTATTTCGGTAAAGTCACGTAGAATGAGAATAAAATAATAAAATAACACAATAAAATGTCACGACGTTCGGCCACAACAAAAAATGCAGCCTTCTTCAGGTGAAAGAACAGAACTGTCGGGACGACAGAGCTTCAATTAACGCTGCTAAGATTCGCAGCGTCTTTTTAAGCTCGGTGAGAGGCGCGGCGAGCCTTGACAAAGGAGTTTACATATCAGAGCAGGAGAATTTAGCATTGAAATAGTCGAGGGATTAGCTTGTGACAGAAATAGCTGTGTTAAAGTCAAAGTTTACGTATCCACAGAAGCTTTTAGTATATGGACGCTAAAGGCCTCCAATTACCAACTATTATAAAGTAAACCATAGCGTCTTTTAAGTTCGGTAAGAAGCGTGAAGAGCCTTTCTACGTGACTTTACCGAAAGAACCAAAGAAGATGCATCCTTGCAGTCACGAAAGCTTTAAATCGAAACTTTCTCCTGTTCGTGGATATCACCGTTTAATAACATGGAAAGAACACGTGGACACGAACAAAAGACTGATGAAACAAAGCTGACAATTTTTCGATTTAAAAATAAAACATAATAAATTAAAATTCTCACCAAGTTTTGCAGAGAAGAAATTATCGAGAATTATGCCAAGAGATGGGAAGAGGAACACATGGATCAGAGAACAGACACAACTCTTAGCTATCATATTAACTGTTAAAGTAAGCGAGTTTGGACAGGACAGATCGCTAGAGATGATAAGTGATGGCTGACATTGGAATGTCAGCTTCAAAAGGAAAGCAGCCATAGGTGAAGTAATGAAATAAGATCATATTCGGGAACGAATTGGGGTGTTGCATCGCAAGGCCATCGATTAAAAAGGGAGGCGATTATCCAGCAGTAGTTAGGTCACGGCTGAGCATGGTGATGAATAATGGCTGAAAATAATTGGAAACCACACGTGTTTTTATCATTGCATTATATAAATATTTGTCGTGGGTTTTAACAGGACATTTGCTTGACGAGGGAATACGGCTTTCTGATGAATACGACTGGTGGTGGAATGGCGACCATAGGAGAGATCACACCATGCGAAGCAATGAAATCAGCTCGTATTCTTGCGTGAAATAGATTATGGCATTGCAGGACACTGAGGGATGGTGATGGCATAACGGGAGGCCTTCACTCAGTCGCGAACAGACAAGGGCTGCTGATGATGATGATAAATCTGCACGTGCGCGCATGTTCATTGAGCATTAAAGGGCCACACATTAATTCCTAGCACGAGTTTATATAAAGGTGCAGACCAGAAAGCGCTTTCTCATGCCACTGCTGGCAGAAGGGACTTTACTATAGGGACCTCCAAAGAGCCCCTCTTAAGGGGATGTGCTGGCGAGGTGTCTAGGAGATGTAAGAGGGTGTTTTTGTTCGTTGACTGTTGCACGCTGTGCAGACGAAGTCTTGGAAGAGGTGGGAGCACACCACTTTACCCTACCACACTCGATCTTCTGATTGTGACGTACCAAATCTTGATTTGAAGCTTTCGTGACTGCAGGAATCCATGCTCTTTGGTTCTTTCGGTAAAGTCACGTAGGCATAGAATAAAATACATTTATTTTATTTTTAAATACATTTATGTAACGTACCCGTTCATACTGCTGGCTGAAAAGAGGTGGATACATTTTTGCGACATTTTGCCCACCCTTTCAACTGCCGCGGCAGGAAATCGAATTGGACCAAGATCGCAAGTTCAGTTCTGGATTTCAGGTTACGTTGGCTTTCCCGTTGGAGCACGGTGGCATCCCTCAGTGAGTCAAAGTAGCAGATAGAAGAGAGCGCAGTGATGTGATACAGCATGGAAACTTGACAGGTACTGTTGAGGATCGCAATACATTTTCTTTGGAGAATCTGGGGTGTGGGCTCCTGTCATTCAAGCGGGTAACTGACGCACCCAACGTGTCATCAATGGTGCCGTGTGGAGAGATTCAGCTGCTGGCACATTTCCAGTGACAGACGCAAGGAACTTACGCCTCAAGACAGGGCCACCTGCCAGAAGGCCGACCTGTGTACACAAGTTAACTGCTTTAGAGACAGCCTGTCCTGGGTCACAACTTCACATTTTACTACATTGCGATGGAGTTTATAAGTTTGGGACTCTTAAATTTTTTTTGTAAAAAGTCAAAATATGTATTTGTCATTTAAACGGTGCTCATGTCACGTTTTACAACCCTGAGCCAGTGGTGGAAATGCCTAATTACCTAGGGGTGAGGGCGAGTGTTGATTTTCCCACAGTGGTTCTCATTTTATTTTTTCTCTAGGAATAATATTCATCCTCGCAACGGCTTTATGGCAGGTCATCGAACAAAGACGACCACTGCATTGTGTTCTTCCAGACGCGCTTCTGTGGCCGTCGGGAACGCTCTTCCTTTCGATATCAGGAAGCCATTGGAGCAATGCACTTTTGAATGTAGATTGAAAACTAATTTCTTAAGGATTGCTTCTTGTGTTTAGTTTGTTGTCCTTCCCCCGCGCTTCCGATTATCAAGGTTGGCTACTCACGATGCGAAATAAGTTCAATATAAATACATGTAAAGAGCAATACATGGATCAGAGGAACCATGGAAATGAGAGATATCTTTTCAACTGCTATGAAAGTGGGTTTGGGCAGGACACATTTCTTCAAGGGAAAATGCATTGATAAGACTGTTGCGACTGTTGTATTAGCGGGGTTGGCTACGTACGGTGCGAAAGAAGTTCAACATACGTATGTAGCCAATCGTGCTAATCAGAGGTGCTAGGGACGGAAAAGGAAACCGATCACTCACTCACCCACTCACCGACTCGCTCACTCACCCACTCACCGACTCGCTCACCCACAAACTCACACACACACACCCAATCAATCTATGTATGTATGTATGTTGAACTTCTTTCGCACCGTACGTCGCCAACCCTACTGATCAGAATACGAGCTAAAGGAGATCATACACTAGATCGGATTTCTAACGCGGAGGTGTCAAAGAGCGAGGTGGGTCTTTGTTGTTTATGACAACAGCATGGGGAGCCCTTCACCGTTGGAGAGAAATGGGCTGATGATGTGCTTATTAATCAAACTGCATGTTGTAATTCACACCACCACTCCCAAGATAGTTGGGGGAAAAAAATGTAGTTCAAGTTACAACCAGTTTGGAGTTTGAAAAACTAAAATTCGTTTATATGTAGCCCGAGGTAGTATCTCGACAAAAAAGTAGGGTGTAATAGACCCGTGTGTTTGCTGTCATCCTTGCAGTTCTCCTGGCTTTGTGAAAAGCATTTCTTGAGCGAGATTCGAGCAACGCAAATGCTGCCTTTACACCTGCACTTTGTACCGTGAACACTCGCCAACCCTTCATTTACACGCTTAAGTGAAGATAACATTTGTTATGGCATTGGGTTACATCGCATGTGTTGCTACTTTTTTTCGCATTACAGAAGTGTGTTTGTAAAACCGAGGTAAGCAGACCATTTTTGTTACAAAAATAATTTAAAGAATGCTTTACCCCCCCCCCCCGCCCGCATCATATGTAATAATGTGGAAGCTCTAGGCACAGTCGATGCGTGATTTTTGTGATGATAAACAGCCACGCACGAATTAAAAGCGGAGTGTTTTTTTTTCTTCTTCCATGAAATTAATTACGTGTTTTCAACACTCCACGCTGTTCCTGTGGTTTTGGTCAGAGGTGTTTTTAACGAAGAAGGTTGTGTCCCGTGTCAGCCCTCGCATCTCCCACTTCGACGGCACCGCCTTCCGCGCAGGTAATTATTATTAGTGTTCGTGACAGGACGCCTTAAGAACGTTTGCGCTATGAATAATCTAATAATAAAAAACAAGTTTATTTACTGTATTGTTTTATTTTAATGTTAACATAGTTTCAAGTAATAGTAGCAGTAGTAGTAATAATATCGTCATCATCATAGGCCTTTGTGTCTCGAGAGACAATTATTTTTTTGCGCCTTACGAGGTCAGCTGTAGGTTTTGCAGAGCCTAGAATGACTTAGTATCGTAGTAGTAAGTCGTAATAATACGACTACTATTACGATTAAAGGTACCTGTTTCTAAAAATATATATGTTTAATGCTTCAACAGTTTTGTCTGCCATGGGAAAATATTATTAATTGCTGTTGCTTAAAGAAAAGTTAAATGCGTTTGATGGTACTCGCTTGTAAATAGCCACAGGACCGTCTAGTTACCGTCTCGTTCCAGGACCCATGGCTACCTGGCAGAAACTCCAGAGCAGAACATCTGAGCCCCTTGAAGAAGACGCAAGTGGGTCCAATGGCCACATTTCGGAATCAACCGCTGGTCTGGTGCTAGGTAAAGAGCACGACACTTTGCCATTCCTTCGTTTTCCGTATGCGAACGAGCGGTGTTCAATGACACACTCGTAAAATACTGCTGCGTTATGTCCTCACACTTGTGTTGCTCTCGGGATATACCGTAAGTTGAACAGCATTCGGTACAACATGCGGTAAAACCCATGAACCAAATCGGTAGAGCTGTTCATTCACACGTACATTAATTTAGTGTGCGATCCTATCATGCCAGCCAACGTGGACATGTTCTTTAATTGTCTCCTGATTTTGTTGTATAAATTAACAACAACCTAATACTGTTTGCAAGTAACATTTCAAGGATGTTTCGCAAGCCTCGGCGTGTATGCCCTATTGTCGCAGTTGTTTTCTCACGAAAAATGTGGCTCTGTTGCTTAATGCCAAAGGTTATTTGTTAATGACTATACAAGAACTAAAGTCGCGTGCCTTAGGAACATCACAGTGTGACACAGGAACATAACTGCCGAATTTAGACTCACGAAACATTTGTGAATGTGTAAACACTACCATAAAATGTATTCAACCTTGCAATGGTAGTGTTTTTATGCTAGATAGTACAACATCGAATATATATGTGAAACGTTCTATGATCGTGGCCATAAATCCAGTAAAACTTAATATATCATCCCATCACTTATCTCACCTGACCAGTAAGCCACACACGTGTTCACAAATTAGACCTTTTAAATACAGTCGTGTGTTTTTTTTTTCTCTTACATAAATTCGATTAATTCTAGGGTACAGTAAAGCATTTTCCAATGTTGAAAGCAGTTTGTTCTTTGTCTTATAGAGCAACCTAATTTGTGCATTGGGTGTAACTTTCATTCCATATACATTTTCAGACATCCGAACTTTTCTCATATATCTACCTGTAATTCATCCCCCGTCGAGTCAGATACGCGACGTTTACTGTCACGGGCATAATTCCCCCAGAAATGTCCAATGCTCAATGAGTCTTTGTTGTTGTTGTATACAAGTTATTTTGCTTGCACCTATCCATTGTTTCCAAAGGCTCCAGCATGAGAATAAGTCCGACTCCGAAACGTGGGTCTTGGCCAGGATTCCTCTCCAGCCCAATTGCAATGAAGAGAGCGATCGTTGTGTTGTACATTCTCTTTGCCGTGCATTTTATACTGTGGGCAATGACAGGTAGGCATTTTGTTATTCCTATTGTACCATCACTGAATAGTATTGTAGACAATCTACATGACTTGAAGGTGAATCAAGAGCATGGGTTCAAATGTGTATTCGTTGTCATCAACTTAATAGCATCAATTGTTCTGCACTGTTTTTGCTTTGAACGGCTTATCATCAAAATCCTGTAATGTAACCAGATATGAGCCCCAACAGACTTATATTAGTCGTTTTCTTGAATTTCATTTGGACTTTACACCCTGTAAATGCTGACAATGTGTTTTTTTTACGGCGAAGACACTCGACTAGCAATCCAGAGGTCGCCAGTTTTCATTACCTGGACAGCAGTTGAAGCTGATTCTTAAATACCCCGGCCTCTACCCACCCAGCAATAAGACTTGGCACACCGCAGTTAGTTGATTAACAGGTTCAAATTGTCTGGCAAGCGCGAAAGAGTAGGGCAAAAAAACCCCTCTGTAGCCGCTCGCTAGGAACATCCTTGAGTAGAGGCCCTTCTGCCAAAAGTGGTGTGGGCAAGCAATTGCAGAGCAGCGCCACGTTTGCCTTAATAGAGGTTTATTTGAGTGAGATCACGTAAATATAAGTGTGTCGTTAAACCCGCCACCACTCGACACGGCCAATTAGTAAGGTTTGTCACGTAAACAATAACGTGTCCATTAGGTACTCGTTCACACCGGTGTGTTGGAGAGTAATCCCACAACATTTACAATTCGAGTACGACATTACAACCAACTTAATCAGGTAATAGCCAGAATTGTTTGCCTTCCTCAAAATACCAATATGAAAACACCTGATAACTCGCACAAACTCTTTATATGTATCCACTTTTGTTGATAGTATATGAATGAAGTGGGTGAGTTAAATATTACATTTATTTTGTGGCCATTTGTGGGGAGGTGATACAAAAAAATTATTAAAAGTGGACTTAAGTATTTCCATGAAACCATGCGTTGGCAGAATGTAGTCTTTTCCAGGAACACCTCACAAAATGTTAATGCCCTTGAGTGGAAATTTGGGGTATGGGGTGTTGCTTCGGTTACTCTGCACCTTCACTTTGATTTTGTGGGGATCTGATATCAATCATGTCCATGAGATGGCTTCTTATGAGCAACACATCTTGAGTAGTTATTTGTTTCTAAATTATTAGATTTTCTTGCCATTGTATGGACATTCTCAAAACCACACTGTCAAAACATTCCGTGAATAAAGTTAGGATACATATGAGTGACATAAATTTCATTTAGCAATTTGTTTTAATTTATTGATGAATGTGAGTTTGTTGTTGTTTTGTGTTTCCCATGATAGAATGCATGTTTTGATTTTAATCACAGCACTTTGCTCTTCAATGGAACAAAAAATATCTCTGTTGAACTTGATGCAATTGAAAAGTATGAATTTTTTTTGCATTATTATTTTATATACAGGGTGGCTCAAAAGACAGGAGACACAGAGTTATTTAGTTTTAACACTGGCGTTACACAATTTTCATTGTTTATTCTTTAGGTTAAAATTTTATTTTTTATCATGATTAATATCTTTTTTTCTTCTTCCTGTAGAGTCACCTCAAATCCATTTTTAGGTGACTTGAGAAAAAATATAATGTATTAATGTTAAAATTTGACACCTGGAATCTTTAAAGAAGTCCTAAATTAATTTCAAGAGGATGTATCCATGCATTCATATTCATGGACGTCAGTTTGAATAATGGTTAAAATAAATGAAATAAATATAATAACCCTAATTGCCCTGATTTTTGGGCCACCCTCTGTTAGCCTTGTTTAGGAAATTAAAACAAAAGAGAGAAAGTAAATGCTTATCAATACCAGAATGATGTATACGATTTTCTTTGCTTCCACCAAAACAGCAGTGTCCCAGAGTATGAGGCAAGGCAATGAAGCCAAAACAGTTGAAACTGATGCCAATGGTCTTCAAAAAAACATGACATTGCCGTCTGAAAAATACCAACAGTTGCCTGCAGGAGTGATTGATGAGACTGAAACTGATACATTTGAGTCACGTAGCCAGAATGTGTATCATCAACACTCAGATGTCCAAAGCCTCTTCTCTTTCACCGAGGAGTTGAATTCAACGGTTCTGCTCTTGCTATCTCAGCTCAAACCCTGAATGATAAACGGAGAACCTCTCAGACATTACCACAGTTCAAATGAACATGAACACTGCCATAACAGAGCAGAGTAAGATGCACATCCATCAATTGCAGGATAGGCTTGAGGGGGTGGAGATGCTCCTGCAGCAGCTGATGAGTGCTGTCCAGCGACTGAACCAGTCTTATCAGGCAGATATTGCCTCCTACGGAAATGACATGCTCACTTTGAAATTCTATGGTGGCTACGTGACCTACCAATCCATGGAGATGAAGCAGAACTCAAGAGGACATGCAGAGGCAGCTGAAGAAATGAGATGGAAATTCTCAAGAAAGTGACGGAGGACGTGCGACTGAATAACTGGGAGCACAGCATACCATTACAGAACATTACCATATTGACAGGTGGACAAAGAATACAGAGCATCCACAGATAAATGTATGTAAACGTATGATGCGTATTAAAAAAGGGAAGGCTATTGAGGTGGCTGGCTGGCTTGTAGGTAAGAGCGCTGAGCTGGCTCTGCTAAGATCCTGAGTTTGGGGCGCCACGGTGGAGAGATGTTAACAACCTCGCCTGGTATTCAGGAGGTCGTGGGTTCGATCTCGACCCTGATGCCTGTATATTTGGAGTTTGCATGATCTCGCGTGGAGTTTTCCCTAAACGTTTACAAAGCATGCATGTCGAGTGTTTGGCTGCCATACATTTCGACATAAGCCATTTGGTAGAGTTATCGTTTGTAGTCAGGCCACTTCTGAAAATGAGCTGTATAGCTCAGTGCCCCTTACCTGGTAAAATAAAGCAATGTGATTGTTTCGTCAACAGTTGAATCTGTGCAGTCGCCAGTGATTAAACCAGATTCTCAAGAGTAGTGAGTTGATGGTCTCAACACAGTCGCCAATACCTTTACAAAAAAGAATCATACTAAATTAAAATTTGCTTTCGATTTGGTACCTGCTATAAGAATTAACATTAAATTTCGATTTAAAGCTTTCGTGACTGCAGGGATTCATCTTCTTGGTTCATACGGTAAAGTCACGTAGAATTGAAATAAAATAATAAAAATAAAACATAATAAAATAAAAATAAAAAATGTCAATTCTACATGACTTTACCGAAAGAACCAAGAAGAAGAATTAACATTATTTGTTGTGCTGTCATGCGGCAATCTATTCTTAGATTGTATCAGAAAGGTTTGTGTGTAAGTTTTAAAATGTCCTCTGTGAACAATCTCCTGCGCAGCCATTCTACCACACACGTGGGATTTTTTTTAATGCAAGATATCCTTAATGAATTATTTGCCCCATGACCCGATGCCCATTAGCAAATTATAATTAATTCGTAAAAAAAAGCCTAAAAAAGCCTTTTTTTTACGTGGGAGAATTATTTTTCCAGAGTGTCCGCCGGATAAAAAATGTTTTCTCCTCCTTTACAAGGTCCTCCTGGGCCAAAGGGGAACCAAGGCGACATGGGGCACACAGGTGTACCTGGCATGCCTGGCTCAAAGGGTGAAAGAGGATTTACAGGTGTTGTTAATTGCACGCACATTGCCACTTACACTGAACTTTACACCCACAGGAGAGACTGTGTGTGTGTTTGTTGGCATGCTACAGGGTGGCGAAGTGGTACCTAGGTTAAATTCATGTTCTGGATGGGTTTCTTCCGGATTATTTGGTTTCCTCCCAAAGTAAAAAAATACACATTTGGTCAAACATCTCAACATGGAACCCTCCTGAAATGGTTTATTCAGACTGAGTTGGGCTTTTCTGGTAAAGAAGTAATTACGATTATGCAAAAATCAAAATTAAGTTGATGTCTTTAACATGAAACTCATCATATTCACCCTCGCATAATGTATGAGGTATTCGCATGTAGAGACATTGATAGCAACAATTAAAAAACAGTGAAAAATTGTAACTGCGGATGGTACATTGATTGGAGGAATACAACATGCCAATGTGTTTAAATATTACTACCTCAGCCCATTTCTATGGCTTACGATGCAAATTATGTAACTGCAACCTTGACTCGGTACAAAAAGCCAATATATTTTCTTCTGCAACCGGGTTTAGAGGATGAAAATGAAATTGTTCTCACTTCCACCGATGTTGCTGTGTGTTTTCTGTGCACCCTGCCTGTTAATGCATATTCTTTCCTATCTCTCTCTCTTTCTCTCATCCTTTCCTGCCACCCCTCTCTTTCAAGGTTTCCTTGGGCTTGCTGGACAGAAGGGATATCCAGGAGAAAAGGGGGACATGGGACCCAGAGGGCCGTCTGGACTTCCAGGAAACACACGGTTGGTCGCTTGTTCTGTCTTTGTACAACGAACTCAAATAGTGCAGAGCACTGGTTCCCAACCCTGCGATTCTGCTCCCCGCTGGTGGTCTGCAAGGTCATGGGAAGTGTGCCATAAAACGCTTGCAGATACAATATATTATTTTTCACCAAACACTAGACGCTCTATTTGGTCGTGATCCACAAAACCACATTTGAGAGTTTACAGTGGACCAGAGTTCCACAATGGCTGGTAACCACTGGTTTTGATCAACTATAACTATCACAGCCCTTAGTCATATCATCCGGAAATATTTAAAAGTCTGGTTAACTTCTTAGGACTTAGTAGGTTGTTGCATGTTCCTGCAATTGTCTAGGATTAAATGTAAAGTATGAAATGTGTGGTATGCACAGCAGACCATTTCGCAATCAGTTATCAAAAATAGTTCGCATAGAGTTGCCATGTGCATCACATGTAATTATTGCAACAATTAGCCAATTTCCTTCTGGACTTACCTAACAGCCAGAATAATGTTCATGTTATTTGTAAGATTGATGTCCATTACTTACCAGCGGCTTTTGGATAACCATCGAACAAAGACGGCCACTGCATCGCACCCTTTAAAACTTGTTTCTGTGGCCGTCTGGAATACTCTTCCTTCCGATATTAGAAAGCCACTGTAGCTAGACACTTTAAAATCATCTAGATTGTAAACTCATTTATTTGGACCTGCTTTTTGTGTTTAATTTGTTCTCCTTCCCCCGCACATCCAATGAGCATGGTTGGCTATGTACGGTGTGAGAGAAGCTCAACATACATACCAGGAAATAGCCATCTGTTGAACCAAATAACGTCTATTACTTAACCAGATAAAAGGTGTGGATGCAGCCCTGAAATGGCTTGATCATGCCACTGCTGGTGAAAGGGTCTCCACTCGTGGGAGCTCTAAAGGGCCTGTCTAGAGAGTATTTAGCTTACTCTTTCATTCATTCATTCAATTAATGTTTTGAGTAAAAACGTATCCCCTACTAATCAAGACACATATAAAAATATATCAAAATGAGAGGACATACTCAAGGAAAAGCTAAAAGGCAAAAAAAAACAGTCTTGCAGAGTTCACACTGGTCCAAACATCTTGGAAGGGGTGGAAGTACTCACACTTTACCCCACCACACGCAACCTTCCAATCAACTGAGTAGACAGAGGCGAGGGTATTTAAGAAAACGATCAGGTTGTATGCAACTGCCACTGCGAGTGATTCAACTGTCGACATCTGGATTGCAAATCCAGTGTCCTGATCTCATGAGATGGGGAGAGGAAGCTCTGAAGTATTTCTGCACTCCAGGTGTCCGGGCAGAAAAGGGCATGAGTGGAGAGAAAGGAGAGAAAGGTGACAAAGGTGACAAAGGTGATCCAGGTAATTTTAATTACTATCACTGTTTACAAATATTGCATTAAGTAATTGGCCATTGATTTACATTTGCTATGGTTTTGTGTGTGCTATTTATGGATTTACATACATCCGTAGTGACTCAATCGGAGACACTAAGAGTTGGAGGCACTCTGTTTATTAACACGCACCAACGGTTAACACTTCCAAATAATCCGTCTATAGTTGACTACGGTTCCCAGTCAGGACAGTTGTTAGGCTGCCTGACTGGCGACGCCGAGACGGCGGTGAAAAACTTCAGCAGCACTTCAGGGATCCCACTCCAAACGACAGCCCCGAGGTCCCCTTGCAGGGCCCCTCTTATACTGTCAGCGTGGCCTGGCTCCGCCCCCAGCCACGCCCCCCTTTCTAGAACCTACCCACGGGTTCCTGGTGTGTCCCTTCCGTGACCTTTCCCCTAAATCCCCCTCTGGTGTATCACGTGGCCTGCTGCTGTCAGGGCTGCTGTAAGCTGCAGTATCACCTTCCCCGCCAGCAGCCAGCACTATGCTGCTACATAGCTAATTCTATGTCACAAGACATCCATCAACAGCAAACATAGAGCAAACTTACAAAAAAATGGGTGGAGAGATACGTGGTTTAGAGTTTGCATGGAGAGGCACGTGGATTTCCGAACTCTTCTGATGATCGATGGGATTATTTGACGAATTGGATAACACCGCAGCATATCCCACTGGGCATGGCTTGTTGTGGGTTCCTCCCTTCGAGAGGCTGGGATGTTGGCTAAGCCCCCATTGTTTAAAGGGGCACAAGTAATCGATCCAACAAAATGTTAGCCGATTAAAATGTGTTGTGGTCAATTTGACTTCATGGACTTATTGTCCCGGCTCACGTTGAAATGCTTGCGACGGTTTTTCTGTACCCTGCAGACGACGTCCGAGTGCCCGTGGTGAGGCTTGTTGGTGGAAGAAGGTCCAATGAGGGGAGAGTGGAGGTGTTGCACGATGGGCAGTGGGGCACCATCTGTAACGACAACTGGAATGTGCAGAATGCGAATGTTGTTTGCAAAATGTTGGGCTACAAAAGTGCCTCTGCATCAGCTACCATTGTGAGCCCGTATGGCCAAGGTACGTTCAGTTTGGTACTTGCGCAATAATAGGGCACGCAGGCGCGTGTGTGTTTTTGTGCGCCGCGGTGGGAAGCCTCGAAATCAGTGGTTCTTCACCTGGGGTGCACGCACACACTGGGGGTGGGAGATGCCCTTTCTGGGAGTGTTAGGCATGCCAGAAAACACAAATCAAGCACGGGCACGGAAGCACAAATACTTTGTTCAATCAAACCTACATATTTATTAATATTATACATTTTTTTACGATTAAGAACCGAAAGATTTGCAGGCTGCATTAAAGGTTAAAAACCACTGCTCTAAATTATTACTTGGTGCTGTGTGTAAACATTGGTACTTAGGAGACAAAATTCGTGGTGCTAGCTACACCACCCCATCGTGTACCATTCCATCCTGAATATTTGCTCACGTACAGCGCTTGTCCCAACATGTTTTGTATGCAAGTTTGAAAGTCTGTGCTGATAAATCGCGATACTACTCATTACAATAACTGCTGTTTAAACAGTCAAATCGTGGATATAATTAGTTTGAAATGACACCAATTACTGTTGCTTTCTCTGTCCAGGGAGTGGCCCCATCTGGATGGATGAGGTTGAGTGCAGTTCCACTGAGACTGACATCAGGAAGTGCAAGTTTATCGGTTGGGGAAACCACAACTGCCAACATAGCGAAGATGTTGGTGTGGCCTGTGTTCCATTGTGATGCAAATCACAACTTCTACTTTGGTGCTCAGCAATGGCGTAGTAACTACGTTATCAGTGACGTAGTAACGACATCATCAGTGGCGTAGTAGCTACATCATCAGTCGCGTAGTAACTACGTTATCAGTGGGGTAGTAACTACATCATCAGTGGCGTAGTAACTACATTATCAGTGGCGTAGTAACTACATCATCAGTGGCGTAGTAACTACATCATCAGTGGTGTAGTGACTACATAATCAGTGGTGTAGTAACTACATTATCAGTGACGTAGTAACGACATCATCAGTGGCGTAGTAGCTACATCATCAGTGGCGTAGTAACTACATCATCAGTGGCGTAGTAACTACATCATCAGTGGCGTAGTAACTACGTTATCAGTGACGTAGTAACTACATCATCAGTGGCGTAGTAACTACATCATCAGTGGCGTGATAACTACATTATCAGTGGCGTAGTAACTACGTTATCAGTGGTGTAGTAACTACATTATCAGTGGTGTAGTAACTACATTATTAGTGGTGTAGTAACAACATTATCAGTGGCGTAGTAACTACATTATCAGTGGTGTAGTAACTACATCATCAATGACGTAGTAACGACATCATTAGTGGCGTAGTAACTACATTATCAGTGGCATAATAACTACATTATCAGTGGCGTAGTAACTACATTATCAGTGGCATAGTAACTACATTAACAGTGGTGTAGTAACTACATTTTCAGTGGCGTAGTAACTACATTAGCAGTGGCGTAGTAACTACATTATCAGTGGCGTAGTAACTACATGAGCAGTGGCGTAGTAACTACATTATCAGTGGTGTAGTAACTACATCATCAGTGTCGTAGTAACCACATTATCAGTGGTGTAGTAACTACATTATCAGTGGCGTAGTAACTACATTAGCAGTGGCGTAGTAACTACATTATCAGTGGTGTAGTAACTACATCATCAGTGTCGTAGTAACCACATTAGCAGTGGCGTAGTAACTACATTATCAGTGGCGTAGTAACTACATTTTCAGTGGCGTAGTAACTACATTAGCAGTGGCGTAGTAACTACATTATCAGTGGTGTAGTAACTACATTATCAGTGGCGTAGTAACTACATTATCAGTGGCGTAGTAACTAAATTAGCAGTGGCATAATAACTACATTATCAGTGGCGTAGTAACTACATTAACAGTGGCGTAGTAACTACATTTTCAGTGGCGTAGTAACTACATTTTCAGTTGCGTAGTAACTACATCATCAGTGGCGTAGTCACTACATTATCAGTGGCGTAGTCACTACATTATCAGTGGCGTAGTAACTGCATTAGAAGTGGCGTAGTAACTAAATTTTCAGTGGCGTAGTAACTACATTATCAGTGGCGTAGTAACTACATTATCAGCTCAGGGGTAGGGGAATTGGTCTGGTGGGGCCCCAACCTTAGATGTGTCTCACACGGTTACACCGCGGCTATATGTTGTGGCTCCTCTCGTCTAATCACATCATTACGCTCACGGTCTCGAACATTTAATGCTGTAGGGGCACTCCATCTTCGCAAAATACGGCCACTACAGCTCTGCTTGTCTACTCGGTTACAATAAGATAACAACGACATAGAAACAAACGTGTGATGCGCAATTTGCAGAAGCCAAACATTGGCCCTCGAATTGAATTTAAATAAAACGCGCAACGAAAATGAAAGCATTTCCATCAAAAATAAATTAAAACCGCGTTTTAAATAAATGTTGTTCTTTTACACTGTTGTTGAAAACATAATCCCGTGGTAGATGTCAAGGGGGTCCCAACTTGTAACATTGGCCCTGGTGCCAAGGCACCTCCTGCCCCACGCAAGTTACACTCCTGGTGCTCGTCCTGAACAGCAGGTCCTTGGCTGTGACCTTCTACACCCTCCTTTGATTTCTGCCCCTTCATCATTTCAACAACGAACCATTTATTCAGCTCCCCCAACATCACAATTCACACGGAGGAATGTTATAAAATGACTAAAATATAATACACCCATAAGGTAATTTGAACACGCAAGTTTCCGCAGCCTACTTTTAAGGTTTCACGTTGAGAAAATAGCAGGCCAAGTAAGCATATTGAGTGCGGTTGTCCAGGTTGCGCTGTGTTCATAATTTCTCCTCTCAAGATTTTGCCACACACAAGACTTGCGGGAATCTTCAAGAGTTGGAATCGTGAAGATGTTAAAAACGAACCTTTTTATTTTACCAGGTAAGGCCCACCGAGCTACACAGCTCTTTCGCAGAAGCACCCTGGCCACAAGTAATAGCTCAACGAAGTGGCTTATCACGTGGACATGTATAGTACCCACATACTCTGAACGTGTGTTTATGAATGTGGAGGGCAAAATCCACGGGAGAACATGCAAACTCCAAACAGACGAGCGTCAGGGTCTCGATCGATTCAACGACATCCTGTATACCAGGATGTCGTTGAGAACTAACCGGCTTAAATCCGAGTAACATCCAGGAGCTGATGAGATTGGACGCTTACAGGGGGATTTGGTCATATCCAATAGCAATATTTTAACAATGAGAGTCAAGTAAAATAATTATTCGATATACACGAAAACGTAACGAAATACACAATTGTCATTTCAGGGCAATATGTATTCGTAGTTGCCAAAATCGTGGGTGACTGTTTACTGAAAGCACTATTATTGTCAACCTGAAATCAGTGAAAAGTTGTATTTCACAAAAATATAACAAAATGCCATAGACAATGTAGAATAGCATAACGACTTAAATTAACGATACAAAATAAGTGTTTATATATTTTTAAATAAATTTACTTTTTACTAAGTATCATTTTCATGAACCAAATATGCATCATGGCTACCATCACATGGAGATTAAGTATGGTAAATTGGTACTTTGAATTGTACATTTCTATCAGGTAGCAATCTTATTTAGGTATTGTGACTATATTTTTTGAAAGTCTGCTTTCTACAGTAAGGTTCATAAACATTTTCTTCAAATATTAAGTTTCAAGAAAATGGTTTGCGCAATGCTTGGGGTTGTTGTCTTTACACTTTACAGAAGCACGTTTGTTCACGCTGGTGAGCTTACTAAAATATATGCAAATATAATCTTCGAGCCTTTTGCCCGTCCAAGGACGGGTGTATTGTTGTAAATCTGAAACTTGCAAGCGAAAATCAGACCGTGACGTGAGATATTCATTGCATCAATTTGTGTGCAATTTGTAAGGGCGCGGTGACACAGACCTATTTCATTTTAAGGTTATAATCCCTTGTTCATCACGACGTCCTTTTTACTTCGATGTCTCAACAGCGTTACGGAGATCACGTGACGTGAGGGTTCTGCCTTTGTAGTGAGGATTGTGAGTTGACGTTGAGGAGGGGGGAGGAGGCGCCTCGCCCCCATGTGGAGTGACGTCAGCCGCTAATTATTATGATGGGGGGATTATCCATTTGGAGGACGTCAGCTGTTCATGATTATTAATGAGGGGGGAGGGTGCTCGATGTGGAGTGACGTCAGTAGGCTTGCAAAGTACCATCGTCTTAGAGAAATCAAGCCTACTGGCTATCAACAAAGATTCGTTCATGAAGCCATCCATATATACAGACACGGACACAATTTCAACCGAGAGGAAGGTCATAGACTCAGCAATCGTTGGAAAGATGTCATCAACCCCTTTGGGTCATGACTTGACTTGTGTTTTCTTGTCAATCAACCTCCACCGTCAGCAGTGTGGTGTGTGGAGCGGGGTGCAGGGATTTCTTGGCGGCCCTTTGCTGCATTGGCATTGCTGCTACATTGGCATTGTTGCTGCATTGGCATTGTTGCTGCATTGGCATTGCTGCTACATTGGCATTGTTGCTGCATTGGCATTGTTGCTGCATTGGCATTGCTGCTGCATTGGCATTGCTGCTGCATTGGCATTAGCTGCTGCATTGGCATTGCTGCTGCATTGGCATTGCTGCTGCATTGGCATTGCTGCTGTATTGGCATTGCTGCTGCATTGGCATTGCTGCTGCATTGGCATTGTTGCTGCATTGGCATTGCTGCTGCATTGGCATTGTTGCCGCATTGGCATTGCTGCTACATTGGCATTGCTGCTGCATTGGCATTGCTGCTGCATTGGCATTAGCTGCTGCATTGGCATTGCTGCTGCATTGGCATTGCTGCTGCATTGGCATTGCTGCTGCATTGGCATTAGCTGCTGCATTGGCATTAGCTGCTGCATTGGCGTTGCTGCTGTATTGGCATTGCTGCCCCGCCCATGCTGCTGGTGCTGCTGACACACTTGGGCTATGCCCATCTCCAAACCTTTATAAACAGTTTGCCTTTAGAGGCTAACCCCTTTTCCTGATGATGACCGCTTGAGTTGCGATCGAAACGTCGTGGTATTTTTTAAATTAACTTTATTTATATTATTATTTTTTCTATCTACGTGACTTTACCGAAAGAACCAAAGAATCTGAATTCCTGCAGTCACAAAAGTTTTAAGTCAAAATGTTACATTTGGCACCGTCGTCATCATCGTTGTTATTACCAGCCATGTTCAATCCACTGCTAGCTGTGGAATGGGCGCTGAGAGGACGCCCATCACCACAATGTAACGATGCGATAAGTTCACGTGCAGGAGTGAAAAGAATTGTGGCGTGCAGATGAGTTGCAATGGCATAATGAGGCCTTCATCCAGCAGTAGATGAAACGATGGCTGATGATGATGACTCAACAGTTAAATGGGCTGCTGTTCGTGCACAACATACTGACAATCCGATCACAACAGCGATGGCTATTCATTGCCCAGTTCTTGGTTGTGGTTGGCATTCTTCTGGCTAAAATAATAATTTCATCTCTAACTTGGGAAGGTATGAACTCGAGTACAGTTTCACAAGGACCCAATTATTCTACACGCAGATCTCCCCCCCCATAATATAGGTTCTTTTTTGGTGAGATCGCGTAAATATATAAATGTGTGGTTAAACTCTCCACCACCCGACACAGCCAATTAGTAAGGTTTGTCACGTAAACAGAACATGCAAATTCGTTACTCGTACAGCCCACCGGTGTGTTGGAGAGCAAAGCCACAACATTTACAAATCTTAGTACGACGTTTCACC